TGGGGCACGAGGTGCACTGGGGTAAGTGGGGCACGAGGTGCACTGTGGTAAGTGGGGCACGAGGTGCACTGTGGTAAGTGGGGCACGAGGTGCACTGTGGTAAGTGGGGCACGAGGTGCACTGGGGTAAGTGGGGCACGAGGTGCACTGTGACGCAGCATATGCCCTGGAATCCCCAGGATTTGGGAATATCTAAAATGTTCAGTTAAAGGTATATATATGTAAATATGGACGTTTGATAAAAACATAAACATACATACAAACGCAAACATACACGCAAATATAAACACGCATTCAAACTTAAACGCAAGCAAAAAAGCAAAAGCACACAGTTGTGTGTTGAATTTCATCTAGGGTACCACAGCTTAAACATAACAAAAGATGCTCTCACGAATTGCGGTGTTTCGTCTAGCACGGGGTTTACATTCTTTCACAATGTTTAGATTCTTCCTCCGTCTAGCATAATGTTTAGATTCTGTAACTTCCTCTGTCTAGCACAATGTTTAGATTCTGTAACTTCCTCTGTCTAGCACAATGTTTAGATTCTTCCTCCGTCTAGCATAATGTTTAGATTCTGTAACTTCCTCTGTCTAGCACAATGTTTAGATTCTTCCTCCGTCTAGCATAATGTTTAGATTCTGTAACTTCCTCCGTCTAGCACAATGTTTAGATTCTGTACCTTCCTCTGTCTAGCACAATGTTTAGATTCTGTAACTTCCTCTGTCTAGCACAATGTTTAGATTCTGTAACTTCCTCCGTCTAGCACAATGTTTAGATTCTGTACCTTCCTCTGTCTAGCACAATGTTTAGATTCTGTAACTTCCTCCGTCTAGCACAATGTTTAGATTCTGTAACTTCCTCCGTCTAGCACAATGTTTAGATTCTGTAACTTCCTCCGTCTAGCACAATGTTTAGATTCTGTAACTTTCTCCGTCTAGCACAATGTTGAGATTCTGTAACTTCCTCCGTCTAGCACAATGTTTAGATTCTGTAACTTCCTCCGTCTAGCACAATGTTTAGATTCTGTAACTTCCTCCGTCTAGCACAATGTTTAGATTCTGTAACTTCCTCCGTCTAGCACAATGTTTAGATTCTGTAACTTCCTCTGTCTAGCACAATGTTTAGATTCTGTAACTTCCTCCGTCTAGCACAATGTTTAGATTCTGTAACTTCCTCCGTCTAGCACAATGTTTAGATTCTGTAACTTTCTCCGTCTAGCACAATGTTTAGATTCTGTAACTTCCTCCGTCTAGCACAATGTTTAGATTCTGTAACTTCCTCCGTCTAGCACAATGTTTAGATTCTGTAACTTCCTCCGTCTAGCACAATGTTTAGATTCTGTAACTTCCTCCGTCTAGCACACTGTTTGAAGTTTGAACAGAGTTGCTCCCCATCATCTGGGGTCTGCATCAACCGTACCAAGGGCTGTGACGGGGAAGACGACTGCTTCATGGCGGCAGACGAGAAATTTTGTGGTCAGTTTATGGTCAACATCTGTGGTCAGTTTATGGTCAACAGCTGTTGTCAGTTTATGTGGTTAATATATGTGGTCAACATCTATGGTCAATATCTGTGGTCAACATCTGTGGTTAACATATGTGATCAACATCTGTGGTCTTAATTTTTGATCAATATCTTTGGTCAATATCTTTGTTCAATATCTTTGGTCAATAGTTGTGATCAATAGGTGTGGTTAACATCTTTGGTCAAAATCTGTGGTCAACATCTGTGGTCAATATATGTGGTCAACATATGTGGTCAATATCTGTGGTCAATATCTGTGGTCAACATCTGTGGTCAACATCTTTGGTCAATATCTTTGGTCAATAGTTGTGGTCAATAGGTGGTCAATAGTTGGTTAACAGTTTTTGCAACTTTCCGATGGTGGTTTGATTGGACTCTTGTTGAATGTGTCTCTCCAGTCTTGATGTCTTCTTGTTGAATGTGTCTCTCATTTCTCCAGTCTTGATCTCCTCTTGTTGAATGTGTCTCTCATTTCTCCAGTCTTGATCTCTTCTTGTTGAATGTGTCTCTCATTTCTCCAGTCTTGATCTCCTCTTGTTGAATGTGTCTCTCATTTCTCCAGTCTTGATCTCTTCTTGTTGAATGTGTCTCTCATTTCTCCAGTCTTGATCTCTTCTTGTTGAATGTGTCTCTCCAGTCTTGATCTCTTCTTGTTGAATGTGTCTCTCATTTCTCCAGTCTTGATCTCCTCTTGTTGAATGTGTCTCTCATTTCTCCAGTCTTGATCTCCTCTTGTTGAATGTGTCTCTCCAGTCTTGATCTCCTCTTGTTGAATGTGTCTCTCATTTCTCCAGTCTTGATCTCTTCTTGTTGAATGTGTCTCTCATTTCTCCAGTCTTGATCTCCTCTTGTTGAATGTGTCTCTCATTTCTCCAGTCTTGATCTTCTCTTGTTGAATGTGTCTCTCATTTCTCCAGTCTTGATCTCCTCTTGTTGAATGTGTCTCTCATTTCTCCAGTCTTGATCTCCTCTTGTTGAATGTGTCTCTCATCTCTCCAGTCTTGATCTCTTCTTGTTGAATGTGTCTCTCCAGTCTTGATCTCCTCTTGTTGAATGTGTCTCTCATCTCTCCAGTCTTGATCTCTTCTTGTTGAATGTGTCTCTCATTTCTCCAGTCTTGATCTCCTCTTGTTGAATGTGTCTCTCCAGTCTTGATCTCTTCTTGTTGAATGTGTCTCTCATTTCTCCAGTCTTGATCTCTTCTTGTTGAATGTGTCTCTCCAGTCTTGATCTCTTCTTGTTGAATGTGTCTCTCATCTCTCCAGTCTTGATCTCTTCTTGTTGAATGTGTCTCTCATCTCTCCAGTCTTGATCTCCTCTTGTTGAATGTGTCTCTCCAGTCTTGATCTCTTCTTGTTGAATGTGTCTCTCATTTCTCCAGTCTTGATCTCCTCTTGTTGAATGTGTCTCTCATTTCTCCAGTCTTGATCTCCTCTTGTTGAATGTGTCTCTCCAGTCTTGATCTCCTCTTGTTGAATGTGTCTCTCATTTCTCCAGTCTTGATCTCCTCTTGTTGAATGTGTCTCTCATTTCTCCAGTCTTGATCTCCTCTTGTTGAATGTGTCTCTCATTTCTCCAGTCTTGATCTTCTCTTGTTGAATGTGTCTCTCATCTCTCCAGTCTTGATCTCTTCTAGTTGAATGTGTCTCTCATCTCTCCAGTCTTGATCTCTTCTTGTTGAATGTGTCTCTCATTTCTCCAGTCTTGATCTCCTCTTGTTGAATGTGTCTCTCATTTCTCCAGTCTTGATCTCCTCTTGTTGAATGTGTCTCTCCAGTCTTGATCTCCTCATGTTGAATGTGTCTCTCATCTCTCCAGTCTTGATCTCTTCTTGTTGAATGTGTCTCTCATCTCTCCAGTCTTGATCTCCTCTTGTTGAATGTGTCTCTCCAGTCTTGATCTCCTCTTGTTGAATGTGTCTCTCATCTCTCCAGTCCATATTGACAGCGAGCACGAAGCTGGTGTTCTCAAGGCCTATAACTCTGTCAGCTTGGAGTGGGAGGAGGTGTGTCGAGACAACTGGACGGAGGACCTATCCGCAATGGTCTGTAAGCAGCTCGGTTACAGGTGAGTGGTCTACATGGACCTAAGGTCTATACTCTTGGCCAAAACATTAGGACTATACTCTTGGCCAAAACATTAGGACTATACTCTTGGCCAAACATTAGGACTATACTTTTGGCCAAACCTTAGGACTATACTTTTGGCCAAACATTAGGTCTATACTCTTGGCCAAAACATTAGGACTATACTCTTGGCCAAATCTTAGGACTATACTTTTGGCCAAACCTTATGTCTACATTGACGTGGCCAAACCTTAGGTCTATACTTTTGGAAAAACCTAAGGACTATACTTTCGGCCAAACCTTAGGACTATACTTTTGGCCAAACCTTAGAACTATACTTTTGGCCAAACATTAGGTCTATACTCTTGGCCAAAACATTAGGACTATACTCTTGGCCAAATCTTAGGACTATACTTTTGGCCAAACCTTAGGACTATACTTTTGGCCAAACATTAGGTCTATACTCTTGGCCAAAACATTAGGACTATACTCTTGGCCAAATCTTTGGACTATACTTTTGGCCAAACCTTATGTCTACATTGACGTGGCCAAACCTTAGGTCTATACTTTTGGAAAAACCTAAGGACTATACTTTCGGCCAAACCTTAGGACTATACTTTTGGCCAAACCTTAGGACTATACTTTTGGCCAAACCTTAGAACCATATTGACGTGGCCAAACCTTAGGTCTATACTTTTGGCCAAACCTTAGGACTATACTCTTGGCCAAATCTTAGGACTATACTTTTGGCCAAACCTTAGGTCTACATTGACGTGGCCAAACCTTAGGACTATACTCTTGGCCAAATCTTAGGACTATACTTTTGGCCAAACCTTAGGTCTACATTGACGTGGCCAAACCTTAGGACTATACTCTTGGCCAAATCTTAGGACTATACTTTTGGCCAAACCTTAGGTCTACATTGACGTGGCCAAACCTTAGGTCTATACTTTTGGAAAAACCTAAGGACTATACTTTCGGCCAAACCTAAGGCCTATACTTTCGGCCAAACCTTAGGTCTATACTTTTGGCCAAACATTAGGACTATACTTTTGGCCAAACCTTAGGACTATACTCTTGGCCAAACATTAGGACTATACTTTTGGAAAAACCTTAGGACTATACTCTTGGCCAAACATTAGGACTATACTTTTGGAAAAACCTTAGGACTATACTTTCGGCCAAACCTTAGGACTTTAGTTTTGGCCAAACCTTAGAACCATATTGACTTGGCCAAAGCTTACAATTCTGTGTTCGGCAGACGACCACTGACCACCAGCTACTACCAGACCACCAACCTAACGGGCCACAAATCCATTGTGTCGACCTTGAGAAATGCCAGTGACCCGAGCAGATTACAAAGTTATTTATTCAAAGGGTACGATGCTTGACCTCATAGCTGTATCTTTACACGAACATCTTTACACCAAAATCTTTACTTATATGCCTTAATGAGAACGGTTTTTTTTTACATTGGCATCTTAATACTAACATATTAATATAAACATCTTTACACAAATATCTTTACACCAACATTTTTACACCAACATTTTTACGCTAACATCTTTACACAAAATCTTTAAATACATATTTTAAAAACTTTTTACATCAACATCTTTATACCAATAGCTTTAAAACAACATCTATATACCAATAGCTTTACAACATCGTTATACCGATAGCTTTACAACATCTTTATATTAATAGCTTTAAAACAACATCTTTATACCAATAGCTTTACATCTATATCTTAAAAAGAACGGTTTTACATCTTCATCCTAACACAAACATTTTTACACCAACATCTTTCCAACATGTTCACACAAACATCTTTACACCAACATCTTTACACCAACATCTTTCCAAAATCTTTCCAACATCTTTCCAACATCTTTACACCAACATCTTTCCAAAATCTTTCCAACATCTTTCCAACATCTTCACACCAACATCTTTACACAAACATCTTTACAATATCTTCACACCAACATCTTTACACCAACATTTTTCCAACATCTTCACACCAACATCTTTACATTACGCCAATATATTTACATCTATATCTTTAAAAGAACTGTTTTACATCAGCATCTTAACACCAACAAATTTACAATAGCATCTTTACACTTTACATAACATCTTTACATCCCGTGTTGTAAATATGATTTTCGTTTTAAACATTTTTTTTCTGTAGCTTAAAGGCCTGCCCCAGCGGTTATGTGGTCAAAGTTGTTTGCATGGAGGCGGGTGAGTAGAACAGGCGGGGGGGGGGGTAAACATCTCATCAGTTTTTGACAAATGACCAGACATCCTGTCTCAAGTTTGTGACATCCTGTCTCAAGTTTGTTACATCCTGTCTCTAGTTTGTTACATCCTGTCTCTAGTTTGTTACATCCTGTCTCTAGTTTGTTACATCCTGTCTCAAGTTTGTGACATCCTGTCTCAAGTTTGTGACATTCTGTCTCAAGTTTGTTACATCCTGTCTCTAGTTTGTTACATCCTGTCTCTAGTTTGTTACATCCTGTCTCTAGTTTGTTACATCCTGTCTCTAGTTTGTTACATCCTGTCTCTAGTTTGTTACATCCTGTCTCTAGTTTATTACATCCTGTCTCTAGTTTGTTACATCCTGTCTCAAGTTTGTTACATCCTGTCTCTAGTTTGTTACGTCCTGTCTCTAGTTTGTTACATCCTGTCTCTAGTTTGTTACATCCTGTCTCTAGTTTGTTACATCCTGTCTCTAGTTTGTTACATCATGTCTCTAGTTTGTTACATCCTGTCTCTAGTTTGTTACATCCTGTCTCAAGTTTATTACATCCTGTCTCAAGTTTGTTACATCCTGTCTCTAGTTTGTTACATCCTGTCTCTAGTTTGTTACATCCTGTCTCAATTTTGTGACATCCTGTCTCAAGTTTGTTACATCCTGTCTCTAGTTTGTTACATCCTGTCTCTAGTTTGTTACATCCTGTCTCTAGTTTGTTACATCCAGTCTCTAGTTTGTTACATCCTGTCTCAAGTTTGTTACATCCTGTCTCTAGTTTGTTACATCCTGTCTCTAGTTTGTTACATCCTGTCTCTAGTTTGTTACATCCTGTCTCAAGTTTGTGACATCCTGTCTCAAGTTTGTGACATTCTGTCTCAAGTTTGTTACATCCTGTCTCTAGTTTGTTACATCCTGTCTCTAGTTTGTTACATCCTGTCTCTAGTTTGTTACATCCTGTCTCTAGTTTGTTACATCCTGTCTCTAGTTTGTTACATCCTGTCTCAAGTTTATTACATCCTGTCTCAAGTTTGTTACATCCTGTCTCTAGTTTGTTACATCCTGTCTCTAGTTTGTTACATCCTGTCTCAATTTTGTGACATCCTGTCTCAAGTTTGTTACATCCTGTCTCTAGTTTGTTACATCCTGTCTCTAGTTTGTTACATCCTGTCTCTAGTTTGTTACATCCAGTCTCTAGTTTGTTACATCCTGTCTCAAGTTTGTGACATCCTGTCTCTAGTTTGTGACATCCTGTCTCAAGTTTGTTACATCCTGTCTCTAGTTTGTTACATCCTGTCTCTAGTTTGTTACATCCTGTCTTTAGTTTGATATATGATGTTTGTTTGCTACATTCTGTCTCACGTTTGATACATGCTGTCTCACGTTTAATACATGCTGTCTCACGTTTGATACATGCTGTCTCACGTTTGATACATGCTGTCTAACGTTTGATACATGCTGTCTGCTACTCTACAGCCTGTGGGGTTCGCCCCGCCTACTTTAAGTCTCCGCTGCGTGTTGTGGGTGGAGACGAGATTACACCAGGCGCCCAGCCCTGGATGGTCTCCTTGCACGGCGGCATCTCGCAAACTTTCTTCTGCGGCGCTACCATCATACACGAACGTTGGCTGCTGACGGCCAGTCACTGCATCGGAGGAGGGTAAAAACATTCTTCCATGTGCATTATAATTGAGTGAATTCTATGTGTAGAAGATTTGTGTAACTCCAGGTACAAAGGTGAGTGAATTCTATGTGTAGAAGATTTGTGTAACCCCAGGTACAAAGGTGAGTGAATTCTATGTGTAGAAGATTTGTGTAACCCCAGACAGTGGCGTAGCGAGGTCGGGTGCCACCCGGTGCGGCACTTAATGGTGTCACCCCCCCCCCAGAGGCATAGAGACCCTTCCCAGGGACAAACTTTCAAATTTTTGATTTGCACCCCCCCCCCCCACCTCAAGTTTTCGATTTGCACCCCCCCCCTCAAACTTTCGATTAGCACCCCCCCCCCTCGAGTTTTTCTCTATATATTTTGCTATTTTTTTGCCTTGGTGTCACCCCCCTAAATGGTGTCACCCGGTGCGGTCCGCACCCCCCGCCCCCCCCCCCCTCGCTACGCCCCTGACCCCAGGTACAAAGTAGAAGATTTGTGTAACCCCAGGTACAAAGTAGAAGATTTGTGTAACCCCAGGTACAAAGTAGAAGATTTGTGTAACCCCAGGTACAAAGTAGAAGATTTGTGTAACCCCAGGTACAAAGTAGAAGATTTGTGTAACCCCAGGTACAAAGTAGAAGATTTGTGTAACCCCAGGTACAAAGTAGAAGATTTGTGTAACCCCAGGTACAAAGTAGAAGATTTGTGTAACCCCAGGTACAAAGTAGAAGATTTGTGTGACCCCAGGTACAAAGGTGACTTGAAGTACTGGAAGGTCAAGGCTGGAAGCACCAGAAGATTCGCCTACTCCGCCTACAGACAAGTCCGCACGCCCAAGGCTATCTTCAAACACCCCATGTACAACACAGCCACGGTGGACAGCGACATCGCTCTCATCCTGCTGGACAAGCCACTGGCCATGAACGACTTTGTCCGCTCCATTTGTCTGCCGGACAAACCTGCGGACATCGGGACCAGATGTTATGCCACTGGGTGGGGCAAGGTTGAAACTTCAGGTCAGTGTGTGGGCCTCACAGCTGAAGAAGTGTGGAGGGGAGGGGTTGGGGAGGGGTGGACCAGCCAGTGGGGGGGTGGACCAATAGCATTGTCAAAAAAATTCAATAAGGATCTATAGCTAAATAATTTCTACAGCTAAAGTTTCGCTTTCCACCTACCCGCTCCGACAGTCTGCTATTTTATGGATCGGATAGCAATACTAGAATCCTTGATATATTTTTTTCATTTTAATGTAGTGATCCAGGTAAGATGTAATAAAATCAAGTAAAATTATCTGATCTCTCACATTGAAGTTTAGAGAATCGTAAGAATTGTACAAAGAACTAGTCGCGACATTTCTTAGCGAAACTGGGTAGTGAAATCGTACATTAAGTGTTAATACAATTGATTTCTTTTCTAAGTGTTAAAAGAGTTATCTAGTCACCGATCCAGTACAAATCCTGCGGTTTTTATTGGTGAAAAAGCGCCCCTCCTCCCCCCCCCCCCCCCCCCCACCATCTTGGATAAATTTGGTAGAGCGGATTTTAAATGTCACTAATTCTTTTTTTAATGTAACACAATCGTAAAATACTCTTTAGTACAATGGATTTCTTTTCTAAGTGATAACGGTTATCTAATCACAAATTCAGTGTAAATGTTTCATCGGTTATCTACTCACTAATCCAGTGTAAATTTTTCATCGGTTATCTACTCACTAATCCAGTGTAAATGTTTCATCGGTTATCTACTCACTAATCCAGTGTAAATGTTTCATCGGTAATCTACTCACTAATCCAGTGTAAATGTTTCATCGGTTATCTACTCACTAATCCAGTGTAAATGTTTCATCGGTTATCTACTCACTAATCCAGTGTAAATTTTTCATCGGTTATCTACTCACTAATCCAGTGTAAATGTTTCATCGGTTATCTACTCACTAATCCAGTGTAAATGTTTCATCGGTTATCTACTCACTAATCCAGTGTAAATGTTTCATCGGTTATCTACTCACTAATCCAGTGTAAATGTTTCATCGGTTATCTACTCACTAATCCAGTGTAAATGTTTCATCGGTTATCTACTCACTAATCCAGTGTAAATGTTTCATCGGTTATCTACTCACTAATCCAGTGTAAATGTTTCATCGGTTCTCTACTCACTAATCCAGTGTAAATGTTTCATCGGTTCTCTACTCACTAATCCAGTGTAAATGTTTCATCGGTTCTCTACTCACTAATCCAGTGTAAATGTTTCATCGGTTATCTACTCACTAATCCAGTGTAAATGTTTCATCGGTTCTCTACTCACTAATCCAGTGTAAATGTTTCATCGGTTATCTACTCACTAATCCAGTGTAAATGTTTCATCGGTTATCTACTCACTAATCCAGTGTAAATGTTTCATCGGTTATCTACTCACTAATCCAGTGTAAATGTTTCATCGGTTATCTACTCACTAATCCAGTGTAAATGTTTCATCGGTTATCTACTCACTAATCCAGTGTAAATGTTTCATCGGTTATCTACTCACTAATCCAGTGTAAATGTTTCATCGGTTATCTACTCACTAATCCAGTGTAAATGTTTCATCGGTTATCTACTCACTAATCCAGTGTAAATGTTTCATCGGTTATCTACTCACTAATCCAGTGTAAATGTTTCATCGGTTATCTACTCACTAATCCAGTGTAAATGTTTAATCGGTTATCTACTCACTAATCCAGTGTAAATGTTTCATCGGTTATCTACTCACTAATCCAGTGTAAATGTTTCATCGGTTATCTACTCACTAATCCAGTGTAAATGTTTCATCGGTTATCTACTCACTAATCCAGTGTAAATGTTTCATCGGTTATCTACTCACTAATCCAGTGTAAATGTTTCATCGGTTATCTACTCACTAATCCAGTGTAAATGTTTCCGATTTTAGCGCCCCCATCTAGTAAAGCTGAAAGCGGTTTTTTTTCCGGTCACTGTTTCTTCAGAGTATATGTTTTACAGTTACAAAATCAAGGTTGAAAATAGTAAAATTAGTATGCAAGGGCTCTTAGCTGTTAAATTTCTTAACGTAGACTGTTTTATCAAAAACTGCAACCTAAAATTAACGTTTTCATTTTTTTCTACCCCTTAGCTACGCCTCTGCTCAAATTGCGTTAGCTTTCACTAAACAACAAAAGTTTTAAACTCGCTCACCGGTCAAACGGCCCGGGTCAAATAGGCCCCTTTTATATGACCCCGTCAAATCGACCCCCAACAAAACGACCCAGTCAAATTAGCCCCGTCAAAAGGGCCCCTAGCAGGTTTCGATTTTCTTATTCATTTTCAAAATGTTTTGTATTTGTACGCCCACACACCAACACCCCCACACTAACACCCCCACACACTAACACCCAACACTCTAACACCCCACACACCAACACCCCACACACCAACACCCCATACACCAACACACCAAAACCCCACACACCAACACCCCACACAGCCCACACACCAACACCCCACACACCAACACCCCACACCTAATGTCACCTACCACATATTTCAGCACCTGATTACGAGCCGGCCCTGCGTCAGGTGCCAGTAGACATCACGTCATGGGAGTACTGCAAGCACGCGATAGCCATGCACAACGAGCGGCCCAACCACTTCACCCTGACCAAGAACATGATGTGTGCTGGGGGTGCTAACGCCCACGACTCTTGTCAGGTGCACACAACTACTGTAATTTATACTGCACCTACTACTTTCATTTATACTGCACCTACTAATTTCCTCAACTACACAACTAAACCTAACATACAAACACACATCCCAGCCAAGTCTCCTGAAAGTTTAAAATAAACCGGGAGTGATCTACCCTAAACTTTCTCGAATATTCTTATATAACTTGGAATATAAACATGATTTTTAATTATGTAACACATATGGTTACCAGCCAAGGGAGGGAAAAAATGAAGTTTTAATTCATTGAGTTGCTGCCCCTGTGGGGTCGTGGCCCTGTTGACTTAGTTGTTTTTTTCATGCTCTGGTGAGCGATTTTACCTGTGTCCCATGTCATGGGACATGGGACTGTGGGTAGTTTCATGCCTAGCCGTGTCAGTCACACGCAAGCCTGCTGTCTGTGGACACGGTGACCAAGATGTAGACCTAATGAAGGGCTACAGTTTTTTTCTTGGCTAGTTTGTTTTCTTGGTTTCCTGTTGCTTCAGTAATTTCTCTTTGAAATCGTCGTACTACTGTGTTGCATCGCCGTCATGGCTCGATGCTGTGAATAAAGGAGTACTTGACAACAACTGTCGGTGTCAGTGTGTTCTTAATCTCAGGGTCAGCCCGTCTTAACCACAACACCTCAGTGGGTAAAAGCATCCCCACTGAGTGAGGGTTACAATTACTTAAACTTTTAAAAATAGAATAGAATCTCATAGAAAAAAGAATTGCGCACCAAGCAAACACAAAAAAAATGTGCATAATAGTGCGCAATATTATTAGTACTTTATAAATTTACATGCGTTTTTGAGAAATCGAAAATAGCTTAAATTAGTACTTCCGGTCAACGGAAATTACTCAAAATTTGAGAGTAGGTAGGGAATTAGATCTTTTACTTAAATATGAACTTTCATTTATCTATCTGAAATAGTACTCAAGTTATAGGCTTTTGAAAAATTCAAAGTAGAAAAAGTACCACTTCCGGTTATCGGAAATCGCTCAAAAGTTGATACGGATCTACGATTTTGATAAAATACTTATATATGAAATTTCAGCAACCTAGCTGTAACGGTACTCAAGTTATCGTGTTTACACACGGACACACACACAGACAGACGGACAGACAGACAGACACACAGACATACGGACAAGATTGCAAAATTATGTTTTTCCGTATCAGAGAGATGTAAAACGTCGAGATTGTAAAAATCTCGATTTTTTTTTACACGATTACAAGACTTTCTGTATACTTCGTATATACGAGAAAGTAAAAAAAGAAGTAAAAACCGTGAAACGATTAAATGAAAACTTACATAGGCCTTTGTATACACGACTGAGTAGTACATAGTACAGTAGTACATAGTACAGTAGTACATAGTACAGTAGTACATAGTACAGTAGTACATAGTACTGTAGTACATAGTGCAGTAGTACATAGTGCAGTAGTACATAGTGCAGTAGTTTATAGTGCAGTAGTTTATAGTAAAGTAGTACACAGTACAGTTGTACATAGTACAGTAGTACATAGTACAGTAGTACATAGTACATTAGTACATAGTACAGTAATACATAGTACAGTAGTACTGTAGTACTGTAGTACATAGTGCAGTAGCACATAGTACAGTAGCGCATATTACAGTAATACATAGTACAGTAGTACATAGTACAGTAGTACATAGTACAGTAGTACAGTAGTACATATTACAGTAGTACATAGTACAGTAGTACATAGTACAGTAGTACATAGTACAGTAGTACATAGTACAGTAGTACATAGTACAGTAGTACATAGTACAGTAGTACAGTAATACATAGTACAGTAATACATAGTACTGTAGTACATAGTACAGTAGTACATAGTACAGTAGTACATAGTACAGTAGTACATAGTACAGCAGTACATAGTACAGCAGTACATAGTACAGCAGTACATAGTACAGCAGTACATAGTACAGCAGTACATAGTACAGTAGTACATAGTACAGTAGTACATAGTACAGTAGTACATAGCCACCAAGCCAGTCAATACTGGCATTCAATCTGGCAGCAGCTCATTACAGTTTCATGTACATTTAGGGAAAATGCTCCGTTGTTGTTGTTTTTTTTTCTATTTTCTACAATTTAAGATCTAAAGCCTTTTGAGTAATTTTACAATGTTTGGCACATTTCACTATATTTTAAAACCATTGTCACAACAACTTTTTGAAATAGCTACTAGTAATAATTTTACAAGTTCTAAAAATCGTACCCTTTTAAGTATTCAACAGTTTTAAAATTTGCATATTATTTACCATTCACTTTTTTTTTCTACGAAAGCTATGAATATTCCCTCGTGGCAAAAGTTGTATTTTTGCAAGAAGAACAATTACTGAAACTAATCTCCCTCCACAAATCTCCCTCCACAAATCTCCCTCCACTAATCTCCCTCCACTAATCTCCCTCCGCTAATCTCCCTCAGCTAATCTCCCTCCGCTAATCTCCCTCCACTAATCTCCCTCCACTCATCTCCCTCAGTTAATCTCCCTCCACTAATCTCCCTCCGCTAATCTCCCTCCACTAATCTCCCTCAGCTAATCTCCCTCCACTAATCTCCCTCCGCTAATCTCCCTCCGCTAATCTACCTCCACTAATCTCCCTCAGCTAATCTCCCTCCACTAATCTCCCTCCGCTAATCTCCCTCCACTGATCTCCCTCCACTAATCTCCCTCCACTAATCTCCCTCCACTAATCTCGCTCCACTAATCTCCCTCCACTAATTTCCCTCCACTAATCTCCCTCCACTAATCTCCCTCCACTAATCTCGCTCCACTAATCTCCCTCCACTAATCTCCCTCCACTAATCTCCCTCCGCTAATCTACCTCCACTAATCTCCCTCAGCTAATCTCCCTCCACTAATCTCCCTCCGCTAATCTCCCTCCACTGATCTCCCTCCACTAATCTCCCTCCACTAATCTCCCTCCACTAATCTCGCTCCACTAATCTCCCTCCACTAATTTCCCTCCACTAATCTCCCTCCACTAATCTTCCTCCACTAATCTCGCTCCACTAATCTCCCTCCACTAATCTCCCTCCACTAATCTCCCTCCACTAATCTCCCTCCACTAATCTCCCTCAACTAATCTCGCTCCACTAATCTCCCTCCACTAATCTCCCTCCACTAATCTCGCTCCACTAATCTCCCTCCACTAATCTCCCTCCACTAATCTCCCTCCACTAATCTCGCTCCACTAATCTCCCTCCACAAATCTCCCTCCACAAATCTCCCTCCACTAATCTCCCTCCGCTAATCTCCCTCAGCTAATCTCCCTCCGCTAATCTCCCTACACTAATCTCCCTCCACTCATCTCCCTCAGTTAATCTCCCTCCACTAATCTCCCTCCGCTAATCTCCCTCCACTAATCTCCCTCCACTAATGTCCCTCCACTAATCTCCCTCAGCTAATCTCCCTCCACTAATCTCCCTCCGCTAATCTCCCTCCACTAATCTCCCTCCACTAATCTCCCTCCACTAATCTCGCTCAACTAATCTCCCTCCACTAATCTCCCTCCACTAATCTCCCTCCACTAATCTCGCTCCACTAATCTCCCTCCACTAATCTCCTTCCACTAATCTCCCTCCACTAATCTCGCTCCACTAATCTCCCTCCACTAATCTCCCTCCACTAATCTCCCTCCACTAATCTCGCTCCACTAATCTCCCTCCACTAATCTCCCTCCACTAATCTCCCTCCACTAATCTCGCTCCACTAATCTCCCTCCGCTAATCTCCCTCCACTAATCTCCCTCCACTAATCTCCCTCCACTAATCTCGCTCAACTAATCTCCCTCCACTAATCTCCCTCCACTAATCTCCCTCCACTAATCTCGCTCCACTAATCTCCCTCCACTAATCTCCTTCCACTAATCTCCCTCCACTAATCTCGCTCCACTAATCTCCCTCCACTAATCTCCCTCCACTAATCTCCCTCCACTAATCTCGCTCCACTAATCTCCCTCCACTAATCTCCCTCCACTAATCTCCCTCCACTAATCTCGCTCCACTAATCTCGCTCAACTAATCTCCCTCCACTAATCTCCCTCCACTAATCTCGCTCCACTAATCTCCCTCCACTAATCTCCCTCCACTAATCTCCCTCCACTAATCTCGCTCCACTAATCTCGCTCAACTAATCTCCCTCCACTAATCTCCCTCCACTAATCTCGCTCCACTAATCTCCCTCCACTAATCTCCCTCCACTAATCTCCCTCCACTAATCTCGCTCCACTAATCTCCCTCCACTAATCTCGCTCCACTAATCTCCCTCCACTAATCTCCCTCCACTAATCTCGCTCCACTAATCTCCCTCCACTAATCTCCCTCCACTAATCTCCCTCAGGGTGACAGCGGCGGCCCCCTGCTGTGCCGGAGAGATAACCGGAGTGACGAGTGGTACCAGGGCGGCATTGTCTCGTGGGGGGTCGTGTGTGGCTCGCCCAACACCCCGGGGATCTACACCAACCTACCGCTCTTCGTTCACTGGATACAAGAGACGATTGCTAACCACACACATTCCTAACGCAAACAAGAAACAAAAACTCGAACCACACAAACAACTAACAGGGGCGTAGCCAGCATTTCAGTATATGGGGGGGGGGGGCGGAGAGTCTACATAAAGGTCCCTAATTTTACATTCAATATATATATATATATATATATATATATATATATATATATATATATATATATATATATATATATATATATATATATATAAGCCCATATATAGAGATAGAGCAGAGAGCTGGGTTGTGCTATGGTTAGATAGCAGCTGTAGAACGACTGACTAGCCAAAGGGAAATAATTATGAGAGGTTTAAAAAAAATTGAACTCTGTCTTTCGATTACCCAGCTAAATCCATATATGGTCCGTTTTTTAAGGACACTTTAGTGTTGTAATTATTGACTTGTTTCGATACGTTTCCTAGATATTTTCCACGGTTATGGAGAGGGGGGGGTATCCAGCTCCCCAGCTAAACCCTGACTACACATGTGACATACACCTAACCCACACAAAGATATACATAACCCACATATACATACACCTAAGTGGGATACATATGTACGCAATGTTGGAACAGGAAGATGGCTGGACAGAGTTGGTGGATGGACACAGGTGGTGGATGGACACAGGTGGTGGATGGACACAGGTGGTGGATGGACACAGGTGGTGGATGGACACAGGTGGTGGATGGACACAGGTGGTGGATGGACACAGGTGGTGGATGGACACAGGTGGTGGCCGGACACAGGTGGTGGATGGACACAGGTGGTGGATGGACACAGGTGGTGGATGGACACAGGTGATGGATGGACACAGGTGGTGGATGGACACAGGTGGTGGATGGACACAGGTGGTGGCCGGACACAGGTGGTGGATGGACACAGGTGGTGGATGGACACAGGTGGTGGATGGACACAGGTGGTGGCCGGACAAAGGTGGTAGATGGACACGGGTGGTGGATGGACACAGGTGGTGGATGGACACAGGTGGTGGATGGACACAGGTGGTGGCCGGACAAAGGTGGTGGATGGACTTGACCCTAACTTTATTCTTGGTGTCTTGTGGCTCCCAGCTTAGGTAGGCCTTAAGCTCTTTTGAGTAGGCAAACCGGCATGAGCTATCTACATAATCAACTGACTCTAGGAACATTGAAGTAGCCAGAAGAAGAGGGAGACTCTATGTGGCCAGGCTTAGTTGTTGTTCGTAACATGTATGTGAAATTTATTTTGTACTTCATCAATTTAGCCTGTCACTCAACTGTGATGGTAGTTAATTATCCTTTCTAATAGAGTGAAATTGTGATGTTATTGACACACGAGTTCCATCATTAACTGATGTCTACCCATCTAATTACCTAGCATTTATCTTATAACCTACCAAACTTTACACTTATCAGAAGTATTACAACCTGAAATGTGAACAAAAAACCCGCTCTTAAATTTAAAATGAAGATTTGGACTACATGATACAATTTACTTTGTAGTTATAGGCTATAAGAAGATAAAAATGAAGGATATTGCTGTTTCCTGTTTTTTGTACCGTGTTATATCCACTGTCAACATGCTGATAGTAGGCCTAACTGGTCTTCTTATTAATTATATTCATTCGTTCTGGGGTGCCAAGGTTTATCGTTAAATACAATAAACATAACAAATAGGCCGAACAAACTAACACTCTAGTTGCCAGGTATATATGTAAGTTATATATATATATATATATATATAGATATATATATATATATATATATATATATATATATATATATATATATATATATATATATATATATATATATATATATTTATTTATTTATTTATATTTATATCCTTTTTCCATATTTTAGTTTTACATTTATTGTAGATATATAAGTAGGCATATATTATACCGGTGTCCTTATTGGGTTGGATGCGATATGTGTTTGATTGCATGTTGTTAAGGTTTTTATATTTTTGTTATACGTAGCACTTCACTGTCTATTATTATTCAGCATTAATTTCGATTCGATACACTCAAGGGGCTCCTATAAGTCAGAGGGGTACGCAGGTTTTAGGGGGAGTGGAGGGTCAAAAATTTGCGCCATGTGTATGTATATATTTGTGTATATATATATATATATATATATATATATATATATATATATATATATATATATATATATATATATATATATATATATATAGGCCAATATGTGCGTGTGTGTAATATTTCTTTACAGACTAGCTGTATATCCGTGTTTCACTACGGTGTAGATGTTCAAAAAGGACTTTTTGAAGAACAGAAAAAACACAAATCAGAACGCGTCCGGTTTAGTAAATTAAATTGTATATTCACTTATTGTAATACTAACAACAGTAGGGAGAGGTATCACACTGTTTAACACTTTTCTGTGCAGTAATTAAATATATCTTTCTACTTATATTATTTAAAGATTTTTTTAGGTTTAATTTAAAATAATTGTTTGCTATTATCATTTGAAAAAAACATTTGTCTTTTTTTCATAAATAAAATATATTATTTTGATATATGTCGAAAAATTAAACCAATGCAGAAATTTGTTTTGTTTAAAAATAATTGCTAAATTCAATAAGCGTCATAATGTGGTAGTTTTTTTATAACATTGGCAAAAAAAGTAAAAGTGTTTAAGTAAGCTAAATCCCAGGCAGCATAGAAAGCTGCTGCAGTGGTAGAAACATGAAGAGCGCCTGTAACTGTCGAGCGCCTGTAGCTGTCGAGCGCCTGTCGAGCGCCTGTAGCTGTCGAGCGCCTGTAACTGTCGAGCGCCTGTAGCTGTCGAGCGCCTGTCGAGCGCCTGTAGCTGTCGAGCGCCTGTAGCTGTCGAGCGGCTGTCGAGCGCCTGTAACTGTCGAGCGCCTGTAGCTGTCGAGCGCCTGTAGCTGTCGAGCGCCTGTAGCTGTCGAGCGCCTGTCGAGCGCCTGTAGCTGTCGAGCGCCTGTCGAGCGCCTCGAGCGCCTGTCGAGCGCCTGTAGCTGTCGAGCGCCTGTAGCTGTCGAGCGCCTGTAGCTGTCGAGCGCCTGTAGCTGTCGAGCGCCTGTAGCTGTCGAGCGCCTGTAGCTGTCGAGCGCCTGTAGCTGTCGAGCGCCTGTAGCTGTCGAGCGCCTGTAGCTGTCGAGCGCCTGTAGCTGTCGAGCGCCTGTAGCTGTCGAGCGCCTGTCGAGCGCCTGTAGCTGTCGAGCGCCTGTCGAGCGCCTGTAGCTGTCGAGCGCCTGTAGCTGTCGAGCGCCTGTAGCTGTCGAGCGCCTGTCGAGCGCCTGTAACTGTCGAGCGCCTGTCGAGCGCCTGTCAAGCGCCTGTAGCTGTCGAGCGCCTGTAGCTGTCGAGCGCCTGTCGAGCGCCTGTAGCTGTCGAGCGCCTGTAGCTGTCGAGCGCCTGTAGCTGTCGAGCGCCTGTAGCTGTCGAGCGCCTGTAGCTGTCGAGCGCCTGTAGCTGTCGAGCGCCTGTAGCTGTCGAGCGCCTGTAGCTGTCGAGCGCCTGTAGCTGTCGAGCGCCTGTCGAGCGCCTGTAGCTGTCGAGCGCCTGTCGAGCGCCTGTAGCTGTCGAGCGCCTGTAGCTGTCGAGCGCCTGTAGCTGTCGAGCGCCTGTCGAGCGCCTGTAACTGTCGAGCGCCTGTCGAGCGCCTGTCAAGCGCCTGTAGCTGTCGAGCGCCTGTAGCTGTCGAGCGCCTGTCGAGCGCCTGTAGCTGTCGAGCGCCTGTCGAGCGCCTGTAGCTGTCGAGCGCCTGTAACTGTCGAGCATGCAGTCGCAAAAGTTTGCAAACATTGCACAGCTGAGTATGACATGTTGCTTTTCTACTGTCTGAACTTTTTCGCCCCGAAATGCAAGAGGAAAACTCCCATCAGAGCATGGGTTCCCAAACTGGGGGTCGCGAAGGGCTTTCTGGGGGGTAGACTAAACCCTAGCTATGAAAAAAAGCACAAATATTTAGAAGAATATCTCTAATTCGGCTTTACTAGCATCACAATGAAAATGGAATTAAAAAATAAACAATGCGTACTGTGCAAAGTTGTTTTTAGTCATGACTCTATGCGGCTTTCAAAGCTAAAACGTCATTTTGAAACGTGTCATTCGGAACACACCAAAAAAGATATGGAGTTCTTTCGTCGGCATGAAAGGATTTTTCACCAAGAAAACACAGCCTTAGTGCAAGCATCATATGAAGTCGCATTAGGAGATTGCCAAGCACAACAACCTCACACAATAGGAGAAAATCTCATCAAACCCTGCATGTTGAAGTTGGTGAAATTAATGCAGTAACGATGCAACAAATATCTTTCAAATAATGCTATTGGCCGTCATTCAGCAGACATGTCCGTAGATGTTAAAAAAAACTAATTTTGAATTAAAGCAAACTTTCACAATCGTTTGATTTTTAAGTTGATGAATCAACAGATGTGAGATCGTGTTACCAGTTGTTTGTCTTTGTGAAATATATTCATTCGGATGATATAAAAAAAAGAGTTGATATTTTGTTAAGATATCATGGAGAAAACAAATATTTTTTTTTTGAAACTGGATGATTAATAATAATCATTAAAAAAGTTTTAAAAAACCCACGTTTTCTGATTGAACTAAAAAGTAGAAAATAAATGTTATACATCACAATAATGCAAGCGATCACTCTACTATAAGCGATCAAAAACGTGGGGCGCCGTGATTTTCTTACAGTTTCTAATACTATTGACTTTTATTAGGGAGCTTGTAGAGAGTCAACAGTATTAGAAACTGTAAGAAAATCACGGCGCCCCACGTTTTTGATCGCTTATAGTAGAGTGATCGCTTGCATTATTGTGATGTATAACATTTATTTTCTACTTTTTAGTTCAATCAGAAAACGTGGGTTTTTTTAAACTTTTTTAATGATTATTATTTTCTACTTTTTAGTCTTTGTCTGTTTGTTTGCATTAAAATCTCGTAAAAGTTGTATAGCATTAAAGTCTCGTAAAAAGACAACTCGTAAAAAACACGTTGTGTGAATACGTTACTGACTAGAACACATAGATTTGAACCCGCGCCGAGTGGGATAGCAATCGTGTGCCCAACCACTCGACCATATCGTCTCCCCCATACTGGCCACCAGTTGTTACGGTTGTTTGTACACAAACACTGCGTGAACACTAGTCAGTAAGCAAAAAGAGGGAGAGTCCCGAACCTTGTTTTCATCAAATTACAGTTACTGGGTTATGTCCCTTTTCCCCCACGTTTTTGTACAATTATATAGCGGCCTAAAATGATCAATAAAATGTTTCCATGGATCAATTTAGTAATAATAACAATTGAATATTCTATGGTCATCGGAAACAAAGCTTCCCTGAAAATTTCAGCGCGCTAGCTAAAGTGCCCGAAATTTCGATCGCAAGATTTGATTGGAGAACCAAACAGACGCGAAAGCAAGTTAAAGAAAACGTGGGAAAATGGGAAAACGGCTCTGGGGTTTATACGGATGGTGCGTCATGTTTGGGTCAAAATCGGGCTTTCAAAAAATAAAGTAAAAGAGTTAGCTCCCTTATGAAAGGGAATCCACTGCATGATTAATCCGGTATGCCCTCGCCAGCAAGACTCTTCCGACTCCATCGCTAATTGTAAATTATATTAAATCTGGAGCCCTAAACACCGATCTGTTTCAAGAACTGTGCAAAGACATGAATAAAGATCACGAGGTTCTACATTACAGTACGCTGGCTGTCGATAGGATATGTGAATCGTGTTTTGAATTGAAAGATGAAATCACGTTGTTCTTGGAAGTGCAAGGGAAACAAGACGTACTAAGAGTGGTTGGAGAGAGTATCATACCTAGCAGATATATTCGAACAGCAACATTAGCTTAACCTGAAAATGAACGAATATAATATCTCTTTTCATGATAATTTCTTGGCATTTGTTGTAAACGACATGGGGTTGGCGTCAACAAAATCGCGATTGTAGTGGCATTCAATTCCACCCATCTCATTAAAACATTTATCAAGAACAATTAATATTGGAAGTCTACTAGAAAATCGTAGTTTAGTGCTTATTAATTCATGTTGTTTTTTAAAGTAATTTTTATTATCTTTGGCCGAAAAATTGTATACATTTCATAGCGTGCGTCTTGATAAGTAGATTTATAGTTGATGCATTTGTTACTCAAGAAGATGTGATAAGTGTATCCTATTGAAAATTGATAATAGCGTTGGAACATAAAACAAATAGCTATAGCTGACTGAAAATGTAGCTTTATAAAGCGTCAGACTTTCGAATGGGTAACAACTTACATAGTTTAACATGGAAGCCGCCAATGTTGGTTGAAAATGAAGTAAATGAATCAATTGACGTCTCTATAGTCATTTTCTAAACTTTTATAATGAAATTGGTGTTTCAACAAGTGAATATTTCAATAAATTAATTAAGGACTTTAAATTAATTTGTGTTAAACAGTTTGGAGAAAAAACATTCTCTACAAAACTACGTATTTTACAGTTCTACACATAGTGTATATAGATGCTCTCATGTAACTGTATTTTACAGTTCTACACATAGTGTATATAGATGCTCTCATGTAACTGTATTTTACAGTTCTACACATAGTGTATATAGATGCTCTCATGTAACTGTATTTTACAGTTCTACACATAGTGTATATAGATGCTCTCATGTAACTGAACAAAAAAATACACAAACCTCTTGCTTGTAGTTTTACTAGACAGTGTTTTAAAGTAGGTATGTCAAACTGCCGTACAGTGTTCTAAAGTAGGTATGTCAAACTGCCGTACAGTGTTTTAAAGTAGGTATGTCAAACTGCCGTAAAAAAACGGATTTTTCCCCGGTGGCGCCCAAATATAGTAGCTTTTCACTTTATAGTTTCGATAATAAAAACGGCTCGTATAGTAATAAGCTTGGTACCATTAAAAAGTAGATTTTAAGCCCTCTAATTATGTGTAATTTTATAGTTGTTGATATTGAACAATGTATCTCATTCACCAATTGAAAACTATCACCGAGGTGATTTTTCAACGGCAGTCGATTAAACGGATTTTGACCCCTCTCTCATTCAACTCGCGGGCCTTTTTTAGACCGTTGTGAATTCGACAGTTCCAATGCTGCCACTGAAAATATTTGTAAAGAAATACGTTGAACGGCTCCCGTCATTACGACTCCCGACAAATAGGCTCCCGTCAATTTGGCTCACGACAAATAGGCTCATGTCAATTTAGCTCCCGACAATATGACCACTGACAATACGGTTTTCCTAGAGACCAAGTCTCCCGGCAAAGCGGTCTCATTGAATATGACACCTGCCAGTGGGACCCCTTCATCAATATTCTTTAGAGTTAGCTTATCCAACACTCTTAAGTAATATTACTTATGCATCTTGTTCGGCAGGCCTTATTTTTATATTATTTTATTTTATATAAGAAATAGTATGTTTTAATTGAAGGGTCATCTATCGATGACTTCCACATGAGTCGGTTATTATATGCTGTTCCAACTCTAGTGTGTGGGGAGAGGGGTCCACGCTGTACATCCCTATCTGCAGTATGCTTATAGGTTACCAAAACAAAATGCCGTTATCCTGTAAACATCCTGTATATCATTAGGTACTCCAAACTGGCAAAAAGTGCGTTTTAGGGTCAGTTTTTGCGGTTTAAAAAAAAAAAAAAAAAAATTCACTACTTCTAGTTGTCCTATAAGAATAAAAATTATATGTCAATAAAGTTTAAGTCTTTATCTGTCGTAAGCTGGTATTGTTATATCTGTAACACATGTTTGAATGTTTTTATATTTGTTTGAAAAGTATCAGTTACGTCAACAAATTTCACCGTTTTGCGAGTACCGATCGACCCCCACACTGATTCATTTGGTTGCGGCTTCGCGACGAAGCATCATAGAAGCATAATCTTAATGTCCTTTTAAAGAGCCAATTCTAGTCTATCGTTTGATGTATAAATTGAAAAAATAACTTGCTTGTTTTATTTTTAAAAAATCAGTTTTTAAACTTTAAATGACGATATATACACGAAAACAAACTAATTCTGTTTCTATTTTTACACCGATATAAAGTTCACTTTTATAATTACTTTGTGTTGTAAATTCAAGTATTTCTGATTTACGGTCGAGAAGCCGTGCCCTCAATAAACATATAACCCTCGAGTCAACTTTCAGCCCCGGGTGAGTAGCTCGCGGAACGGTTTAAAGGTTGACGACCGATGATGCTAAACGGATTTTACCCTTGCTAGAGCTTTCAAACAAGTTGTAAGTATCATTTTTATAGTTTTATTTCCATTTTAATAAATGAATTTTAAGTTTGAATGTCAGTTTGGTTTAATTAGTACACGTTATTACTTAATGTAAATTTGAACGCGACTAGTCCACGGTTTTAGCGTGTGAACTACGCTTGTACACAGGGTGTGTTTAGATGTGAAGCTATTTAATTTAGGACATTTTAGGGACTTACAATATGGATGCACTTAACTATTAGATGCCAGTGTTTACTAATTCTTTAAAATCTATCGAATGGGATTAATGATAGGGTCGTATTACTACAGTTTATCTGGACTATCACGTCAAAATTATGAATCGACATATTCAAAATGGCCACCAGACAATCCTGGTTACTATGTGAGCGAACTCAATTATTTACAGGGAACGAATGTTAAATACTTATAATATATTTATGAAACACAAAAGAAATTTATAATTATAATAACCAGGGGCGTAGCGAGGGGGGGGGGGCGGGGGTGCGGACCGCACCGGGTGACACCATTTAGGGGGGTGACACCAAGGCAAAAAATAGCAAAATATATAGAGAAAAACTTGAGGGGGGGTTGTGCAAATCGAAAGTTTGAGGGGGAGGGGGTGCAAATCAAAAACTTGAGGGGGGTACAAATCGAAAGTTTGAGGGGGTGCAAATCGAAAAATTGAAAGTTTGTCCCCGGGAAGGGTCGCAACGCCTCTGGGGGGGGGGGGGTGACACCATTAAGTGCCGCACCGGGTGACACCCGACCTCGCTACGCCACTGATAATAACTATACATTTTTATCAATTTATTTAAAACAAAAGACACTAAATTTTAAGGACTAATGTGATTATTTTTTTATTTTCTGTTGTGCACTCTGATTCTGATTCCCCTGCTGAATAATGTGAAATGGTCTGCGCCAGTCTCCGTAATAAAATATACCAGATCAATTTTTAGATGGTGGTGCAATTTATTAAGATTCTACATGTTGTGACTTAGTTTTAAATGCTATATTAGTTGTAAGTGTAAGTAGTACTAGTAGTATTTCTCATTATTTATTTATTTTATAAGCATATTCATATAGTAACAATGAAGGACAGTTAAGTTGTCCTATATGATGTTGAGAACTACAGTATGGCATCTTCATCATTGGATATCTCAACCATTGTGGCACAAGCAACGAATATTTCATTCAATAGAATTAATATTAAAAATATACTATCAAGTATAAATTACTTTAAACAAAAAGGTGTTTTCATGCTTTTTCATATGTTTCCAGCTACAGTCATAGGACAAATAGTAGGCCTAAACAATAGGCTAGTAGTAAATTTAATTATATTTTATTAATCACTAAATTACTAAATAAATAATTTTTTCCATAGCTGGTGGCCTACTTTCCTTACAAGGGAAGGGATGGGAAGAAGGCCACCCCCCCCCCCCCCCCATACAGTTACCAAAACTTACCGCTTACTCTTGATGCTCTACAACAGGGGTCTCCAAACTACGGCCCGCGGGCCGGATGCGGCCCGCGAGGTCATCTCATCCGGCCCGCGGAGATCTTTTTGTCCACGGAAAAATCGTTTGTTGGTGATGGCTGAGGAACTTTGCCCAGAAAAAGTCAAAGACATGCCAGGAAGAAACTGGCCCCCGAACTGAAATTTGATAGTTAATGCGGCCCTCGGGCTGAAAAGTTTGGAGACCCCTGCAAGATCAAGGTTGAGGGAAACCAGACACACAAAGATGTGGAGTTGTTTTAAAAACTGTTCCCCAAAGCAGTTATCAACCCAATGGGTTTGAATGTAGCATCAACTGCTGCATCACTTGTAGTTGTAGGCATCACGACTTAAATAGACTACATTAGATTACTCCACTAAATTTTGATTCTGTTTCTCCTGCACTAGATAACTGGCAGTTTTTTTAAATTTAATATTTTAACTCATGTGATTTTTGTATGAAAATATAAGTGACCAAAACGCATTTGTCATTTTCAATTATTTTTTTTACCTTAGAAAGACTCATTTTAGATGACTGAAAAATTGGGCATATATATTACAAAATTTACTAATGTCTACATTTCTATGTTATTTAGAAAATATGGGTTCTCAAGAATGGAAATTTTCGAAAATCTGTTTTTTTACTAAATTTTGCTTTTTTAAAAATCGCATAACTTTTTTATTTATTGAAATATTTTAATAAAATTTTTGAATATAAAGTAATTTAGAATTGCTGTAAATTTACTAGATCGTGATATTAAAATTATAACAAATTAGAATAATACAATGGTCAAGATTTAGGAGAAATGATTCAGTCATGGGGTTGGTTAACACTCTTCATATAAGAGAGCTCAAGCTACATATAGCAGACTGTGTACTGTTGTCATGCCCCATTAATATTCCCCTCCAAAGGTTCCCCATACCAGTTTTACTTTGTATACTTTAACGAGGCTTAGTAAGGGGATTGCTTGTGCTAGATTGGGAGCTGTTCGAATAGTGAGGTGCATACATGGATGATAGCCATGATACATGAACACTCAATACAGGCCCCAGAGTCGGATCCGGGCCCTAGAAATAAGATGTCTGATGACCTAATGTGCGCCTGTGAGGGGAGAATAGCGAGGTTAACAAAAGAGAAGATGGCTTTATGACATCTGGGACTGGAGCGGAACATCTTTTGCAAATTCACGGAGGGCAGTTTCTTCCAGGCATCATTTCAGAGGAGGGGGGGGGGGGGCGGGCGGCCTCTGCCCACAGAACAAAATGGAATTTATATAGAAAACACTTTTATCAGTGCCCCCCCCCCCCCCCCCCCCAAAATCAATTATTTATATTTTATTATATTACATTTTCGATGAATAATAATAATTGTGATCATGTGTATATACTTAGATGTACCAGTGACAGCTTTACTTATTTCAAAGTGCTACTCACTTTGATGGATGCTAGATTGAAAGAAAACGACATTTGAACATAATTTCTGCATTTTAGACCATGGTATGGCTAACCCAATTGAACATTATCAGTATTTTTAGCTGTCCTAAACAATGAAATCATTGGCCTACCAATACAAAATCAGTATAGTTTAATTTTCGCTACATTAGCCATATACCGTGATAAATTATTTCTTTTTTCAATAAATGCACATGGGGCCGTTCGTTGCTAGCGTCCCATTTATCATGATGCGAAGTTTTAAAAAAAAAATCGATATTTCAAAAAGTATTGATTTAAAAAAAAAAATCTATAGTCGTTCCTTCATTCAGTGCCCAAAAGCTAAATTATTAAAATTTGAGACCTTGGGACAATATGGGTTAAGTTAAAGGCTATTCAATTTCGCACATTTTACAAGTATTTAAGAAATCTGCGGAATAGTTAAAAAAAAAAGTCCGGTAGTTCAAAATCCATTGAGTGTCTGCCGCTAAAAAATAATCTCAGTGATAAGTTTTCAGTTGTATTAACTTGTAAAATATTGTGGAATAACAATAAAAATTAGGCAGAATCAGAGGGTTTACTTTTTAATGGTACTGGTACTAACCTTACTATACGAGCCCTATTTATTATGGAACATGATATGAAAAGCTATTACTCTTATACTTGGACAAGAACTGCTTTTTTCCCCAGACATTTCACAACCACACTTAGAGATCCATAATATTGAAATACAATAATAAGTTGCATGTATTGTTATTGGTGAACAGAATGTGTGTTTGGATGTGGACAGTCGTACACCTAGGACTTACTACGAAATAAAATGAAGGCCAATACCTATTACAATAGGTAAAAACATTTTTAATAAACATCCAGAAAAAATGTAGCAACATTACAACATGGTAATCAGCACATACACCCTAGCATGCACTTACTATCTTAGACAAGAGAAGCTCTTTGGCCAATGTAGTGACTATAAACCATATTAGAATTGGTGATCAAAGATATCAAATTCAGCAAAAAACACGAGAAAAGTGTAGTAATAGTTTACAGCACTCCACAGTTGGTGATTTTAACTTCTTTTGATGGCTTGCCAGACTGTCCTCCAGCAGACTCCATCTTTTTCACCACATCCTGGTACCCAGACACAACCTCACCAAACACAACATGTTTGCCGTCCAGCCTGTTAGGGATATATGACCACATACATTAGCAGGACAAAAATAGAAACTTTTGAATTAAATTGAATGGTAAAATTCAGAATGTTTATACAACTAATAAAACTAGCTTTTGACACACAAAAAATAAACAGAACTATTTTGTTCCTTTTTTAAACATGACTGTGCAGACCTCTGCATACAAAGGTATAGTGTGGTCAGCATTTTGCCTTTTTTTAAGTAACAAAATGCATACATTATTTTAAAAACTGGAATTTTCAAACTATTACTGTGACACAATCTATTTCAGTGACTAGATGCAAATCTGCCTCAACACCCCCTCCCTGAAAGTTTTAAGTAATAAGATTGACATTCAGCAATAATCATATCACAGTAAAAATCTACATAAAAATTCAACATCCTTTACAGGGGGGGGGGGGGGGGGGGGGGGAAGAGGAGGAGGAGATAATTACATAATCGTGTAACTAGCCTAAAACAATAGATCTTGTTTTGTTTTTTTTAAATCTGGTAGGCCCTAACTGAGATTAACCAATAAATTAACCACGTTAATAACAGCGCTTGTAAAACTGACTAGACACAACTTTGCCCATGTGGTCTTGATGCCTAGGTCTTATGGTCAGTGCGACATTGAAGAAGCGGGTAAGAGGTGGTTTGTTATGGAGACATAATAAACAACTTGAGTGAAAACAACAGTACTGTTTCATACATAACATGTTTCTTCAAATCAATGAACTTTTTTTTGGCAATACAAAATACAAAGAAAAAATACATAGGCGCAAAATCTTTCTGCTCGTAACATTAGTTATTTTTAGTGCACAGCCTAGCAGTTATCCATTGATTACATTATGTAAATAATGCGAGTTTTACTCCAAACACAAATCGTCATTACTAAATAGCCAGATAACCACACCACAAGAAAAGTTCTGTCTATAGTCTCATCCATCTGATTCAGTATGTTTGTATTTGGTCTATAGTGCATGTGACATCTGTGACATCATTTGCTATTTTTTTTTCAACGCAATAAATAGGCCCATTGGCATTAGATTCAACACTTCTACACTGCCTGTTTTCAGCGTGTTCATCTAGAGATTTACGGTTGCAGTGACCGAAATGTCAGGTAGACAAAAGCCATAAAAGTGACGATATAATATTAGGTTTACACAGCAGTGTATATTCTACCAGTTTAGCATGTGCAAAAGGCAAAGAGGTTCCATAACCGGGAGGAGATGATGATAATATTGAGAATGCCAAAACTTTTAAGCTTAAAACAATTATTTTTTAACTGCAAACCCAGAAATTTTTAAGTTCAAATCTTGAGAATCCAGATAGGGTAAAAATGATTCTTGAATCTGAGAATTAGGGATATCTCGGAAACGTGGCATCCCTGTAATTGAATGGCACCCCTGTAATTGAATGCACTAAACACTAGTATTAATTTTAAGTAAGAATATTTTGCGAATAAAGTTAATTTGTTCTAAATAAGAGGAAAATTAGTATCCTGAAATACACTATTGATAATTCATTAAAAATCTCTTATTGAAAGAAAAAGAAAGTGTCTATTTCCAACAATAACTATGAATTCAGCAGCCACTGCCAAGTTTTAAAAAGGGCAGTTTAGTGATTTATACAAAATTTCTAAACAGCTGAAAACAGATTTTTACACCAAATGGCATGTTTAATCTTCACTATTCATAACCATAACCAGTTGGTTGGTGATTTTGATGACATGAACTCTTAACACAATAATAACGCTAAGCAACAAATTTGACATAACACTTCAATATCATATATTGAAGATTGACAAAATTGAATTAGAAGTAGGTCTGGAAATTGCTTTCCGCCATTAACTACTGATTAAACCACAGGAGGGAAGCTACAAGAAGTATACATCTAAAAATGGCCCTTGACATATCAGGACCTAATTAGTCTTGAAAACTTTAACTAATACAATAGAAGTTAGGTAACTAATATAACAGAAAAATTATTTGGACAGGAACAATGCATTACAGAGTTAATATTCCTTCTCACTATGAATTATCACTGACATAATTTGTTATATAACCTATACAAACATACCAGGTGGTCTTTGCTGTTGTGATAAAAAACTGAGATCCATTTGTATTAGGTCCTGCATTTGCCATTGACAGCAAACCTGAAATGAACCAGTTAAATTAAGATAGGGGAAGAGAATGTCAAAAAATTTTTTTTAAATAAATTAATGTAAACACGCTAATGAAGCTTTTATAATCGAAGTATTTTCTTTATTTCTTTTTCTAGGTTTATCAAGCTCAATACACATGGTTCATTTGGTACATGGACTTAATCTGAAAAAATCATTTGCTCCTAACAATGTCTGCACTGCAATCTGCACGTTTCCAGACAAAGCTTAATAGTAGCCTGAACAATAAGGAAGTTTAAAATCTTAGGTGCCACCCTATAGAACAGGTCAGAAAAACATCTTTTCTGGCGAGCCAACTTCAATATTACTCTTTCAATTTTTAATCATTATAAAGTTTGAATTTTAAAAAGTCCTTCACTAATACCATATCTAGTTATATACATTTCAAGACTTCATTCATCCAATTTAAATAATCTTATTTAGACAAAAACATATGAGTGCGCTAAAATTCATTCTTTTTATTGCTTTAATAAAATATTGAAACTTTTGATGCCATTCATGTTTTTTCATGCAAAATATATTTCTTACATATTTTTAATTAAATATTACCAGTAACCTATAAGTTAATTTAGTGAATGCATTTACATTTAATATGGAGTTTAGGCCCTACACGAAGATTTTAAAAAGGGTGATCAGGTATTTGCCAAGATACACTGTGTCTGAGCAATAACAGTAGCCAAAAGTAGGAACAGTTATGCCTATTAAGAGGAATTTGAAGTAAAAAAGAGGAACATACATGCTGATGCTACTTTACTAGGTCAAAAATATAAATAAATAAAAAAAAAAAAAAAAAAGAGTCTGATGACATTAGTGGGCTTCTAGTTGTATATAACTAGTCTCTAGGCTACATTTAAAAACTGCTTAAAGTTAGGTTACAGTTTTTTTTTAAAAGTTAACCAGGAACCTGAGACCCCCCCCCCCCCCAATAAAAACCACAACATTATTGTTTTGATTATTCCTACCTTGCTGTGTTCTAGGCTATATAAACAAAAAATGCTGAGGACTTTGTATGTAATACTACATATAAGTAAAGAGTTATGACCTAGATATACCTAGTTAAAGTCCTAGTTACGTCTTAGTTATAACTTAAAAGATGGATCTGTTGTTATGTATCTACTACTATAATCTAAAAATTAGCCATGATTTTATTGTATTTTTCAAAGTGAGTTATTAAAGGCATAATTTTGGTGGGCGGTAGGCATGTTTGCAAAACGAGTCTGATGGATTATCATTATGCTGTGCTCAAATATTAGACAGGTGATTTTAATTTTTTTTATACATATGGATTGTCACCCAAAATAATATAATATTCTGAATTAGAACACTTACCCTCTTTTACATGCTTCTTGCTGAAGTTCTCATCAGCAAACTTTTCACCATAGATACTTTTCCCACCGGTTCCATCACCCCTGGTAAAATCTCCACCTTGACACATAAAACCAGGGATGATTCTGTGGAATTTGGAATCTTTGTATCCAAAACCTTTTTCACCAGTGCACAGTGCTTTGAAATTTGCTGTTAAAAGAAGATGTCAATTAAAGAGGAGTCTAGAAATTCTGCACTCTGCTAAAGTAAACCAGTTGAAAATGTAAAAGTAAATGCTTACCAGCAGTCTTGGGTACTTCTTTATCATACAGCTAAAAAAAAAAAAAAAACACACGTTCATAAAAAACATTCATTAAAAATAATCTTTTACAAAAGTTTTTTTTTTTAAATTGGGAAAACCTTAAAATTTAATTCCAAAACTGAACAAATACTGAAACTTAGGAAATTTTTAAAATCCTAAAAATGTAGCTAGGAGAATCGATAAAATTAGCAAATACTTCATTGCATTTTAAGACATTAGATTCATGTTATGTCCCTAAATACATTTCCAAGATCTACAACAACCTCAACAAAAATTGCAAGTGGACAGCGACCTAACTGCTGTGTGATGTCAGGGAGACCAATGTCTGACATGGTTAGAAATGCATTAATAATTAATAAATTGTTAATTACATCAAATCATCAAGGACTAATGCATTGAAACTGAACTTGAATAATAAAGATTCTTTAGTTTCGATATTCTTCATTTTTTTTAAGGTAAGGCCAATGTTAATTGTTCCAGGATTCTATACTGTTAATAAACAGCTAGAGTTTTTAAACAATCCTTCACTTTACCCTTGTAAAATATCTGTGTCTAAAAACTATTCTAAACACAGTTGTTCTTTAGGGAGTTGAAATGTTTTAAAAATGACATGACTTCTAAAATTAAATGATCCATTCTTCATTAAGTGAATTCTGAAAATAAAATCCAAAATTTTACCAATACTGAAACTAAAATTTGAAATGACATTTGATTCATACATGTTTAATATAGAAGTATACAGTTCTTATCTAGATCTAAATGTAACAAAAATGGTTTAAAAATTTTAGTAGGGACTATACCAGTACCAGGCCAGGGAAAAAAATTGGAAATTTTCTTCGGACAAGAAATGCATGTGAAAAAAATGATAATCTAAAATCTACCCTAGATATAGATCTATAAATCTAGATTCTAGACCATCTAGAAAAGGAATCTAGATCTAGCTAGAATCAATATTTAGATTCTAGATCGGTAAAACTGTGTAAAACTCCATTTTAGCGTATTTTATTCCCCGCTTCACGTTCACCTCCAGTTGGGCGTATTTTATTATAAACACAACCGAAACACACAAAAACGTCAGGAAAACACTAGATCTAGATCTACTTATTTTTTTAATGAATCATTGAATGTGATTTTTAATTAGAAAAGGTAAAAAAAAAACATAAAAAGCATTAGAACTGTTCCAATTAAATTTTGAATCTCGTGTAATCGTCAGCGGGAGAGAAATCCTTACACGGTCGCGGGTTCACCATGAGTTCACATTGACTTTAATTATCAGCATACGTCATAGCTCGGGCAATAGCTGTTTGAAATTGTGTTGACCTCAGTCTTGGGGGTCATTGTAAGTTCATAAATGTTTATTTATAGTATCATGCCTGGGAGAAACTTGTAACAATACAAACTTAACCGCCTTGCAATTGTGAGTTACGTTTACGTACTTCACCCATTGCCATGAAAATTCTGACACACGAACATTGCAGATTCAATATTCTAAAATCTAAGTTTGGATTTTTCTCAAGTTTTAACAAAACTAAATTATCAAAATCTAAAACAAAGTCAGTCTCTTTGGTTTTTTTAATTCATTTTTATTAATTTGTTAAAACAAAAATACAATACAAATAAATGAATCGTGTATTTGGTGTGTTTCGGTTGTTTTAATAAAATACGCTCAACTGGAGGTAAACAAGCAGCGGAGAAATAAAATACGCTAAAATGGAGTTTTACCACAGACTAGATCTCTAGATCTAGATCTAGTTTCTAGATCAAAAAGTCGCAAATGAAGGTCAGTAGCAAATGTGTTACCTGAAACACAATTCTGCCAGCTGGTTGATTACCGATAGAGATATCAAAAAAACATTGGGTCATTTTTGATGCTTGGTCAGCTAGGCCACGGAAGAAACTTTTGGGACAATGTAGATCTACTACGGTTCGTCGTAAGATGCCAGTTACAGCAGGAAGCGACATCACACGTGCTTTATTCGTACGCTACTCTCTAAACTAGCCCCGTTTCCGCGTTTTATTATGGGCGGCCAGTTTGGCTTTTAATTATTGCAAATAAATTATCAGTAGGACTACAATAAATTAAAATAATACGGAGTATCCACAGAAGGGTGTTTACATTGTTTTAAAAGCAAACAAATAACACAAAAATTAATGGTAATTGTACTTTTTTAAAATAGGCTTTCAGAATCAGAGGATTAAGTGAGGGGTCTTGGAAGATTTATAACACCCCCCCCCGCACTACCAATGAACCCCACACAAAAAAAGCGATGCATCCCGGCGGGATGCATTTTGGCGCCCCGTGTTATCGCGTGAGCGCTATTTATTATGAATTATCAAAATTTGCGTCCGTTCAAAACACTTAATTTTTGGGAATTTTGAAGCATTAAACTAGTGTTTTTAATGAACCCACAATTTGAAAATTCATAAAGATTTGAAGATATGCACTTAAATTTTTTTGGCTGAGTACCCCAAAATATGGAGGAAGATTATGAATTCCTTGTTTATTGGGCTTACAAAACAAAAATATTTTTATAAATATTTTTATTTTAATTGCTGAGAATTGTAAAATTTTGGGTGGTTATTGATGTGGGTTGTTGTTGTTTTTAGCATATTTAGAAACGATAAAAGCATTGTAGTTTATAACTTTAATAAGTAAAAATACTGTAACCTAATTTACACAGCATTCACAACTTTTGTAATGAATTTTGTTAAATACGTTCTAGAAATGCTAATTATAAACGAATTTTAGGCACATCATTGTGTTTTGCATGTTTTTTTTTTGCCATTCCTTTGTCGGCTTCTCCTCAGTCGGCCTTCTCCGTCCGTATTGTGTGTTTTGCGTCAAAGTGTTTGTACCGTGTCGGGTTTCAGCTTTGATCCTTTCCTTTGTAATGTAATCGGCGCGATGAATGTGGGCAGTACAGGTGGTTGACCTATTGTTGCAATGAGGAGCCTAGGGTATCAAGTCACATTAACTACGTCTTTATGCCTTTTTGCTCTAATTTAAACTTAAGTATTTAACAAACACTATGAAAAAGGAGTAGGTTAAATAGTATTAAATATTGTAAAAGAATTAAATCGTAAATACTTCACACTTAGTAGTTACGTGTGTTATAAATATCACTGTACGCATACAACATGCGCGTACTTTTCATTCTATTTCATTGATCTAAGTTGATTTGCACTCTCTGAATATTTAACACATAAAAATATTAACAAATTCCATGCACATATATATTTGTGACTTTTTTCCTGTGACTTATTTTCCTAGTCTTATATATTAGGATGTTAAATTAGGTAGCGTGAGCTCACAAAAGCTATAGTATGGCATTTTTAAAGAGCTACATCCATAATTGATATAAATTTTAAATGAATGAAAAATTAAAAACAAATTGAATTTTTCGGAATTTTAGTGGACTGAACCTTCATGCCATTATAATAATCAATAATTGATATTTAAGGCGAAAGTCAATCTCATTGGTCTCTAGACGTTTAGCAGATAACTAATAGCCGATTAGTCTGCCTTCCTCAACTTTTGACTAGGCCTAATAAATGATATTCTTGCCTGGCCTAGGTAGATGGCGCTTCTGTATACTGACAACGACATTACTTCCTCGCTGCTCCCCCTTCCCAAAAGCCTGGCTACGCCCCTGAGCCGTATGATATTTTTGAAATAGATATTAACAGTAATTAATGTTACACATTCGCTTAAGTTATAAAAGTCTATTTAAATCATTGTGCATCTGACAATTACACATACACAACAGAATGAATGTTTTCAAGGCCATGTAATGATGTAGATCTAGACATGTTCATAGCTCATTAATGATTAAGAGGTTCTCGCAAGGATACAATATTTAATAACCTAGAAATTGAAAATGTTTTAGTTTTTATATTACAAATTTTTATAGCTTTTTGTAGTAATTAATATAAGATCAACGGTTTATTTTATTATTTTAACCAAAACGATTCGCAAATCAAGACTGATCAGAGTCCCTGGAAATTTCTTGTGACCTCAGCCTTGAAAAAAACTGACGCATTAAGGTCAAGGCTGTGAAAGGTTAACACCCGGCATAGCGAAGGGTGTACTGTTCAGGTCTCTGCTCATAGTTTTTTTTTTGTTACTCATCAGAAGTTAGGAGATCTAGATCTACCTAAAGTTCTAAATTAGATCTAGATAAGATCTATATTTACAGACACAATGACTACCAACGTTTTCTTTGATATCACTCAAGATGGCAAGCCATTGGGTCGCATTGTTATGACGGTAATTTTAAAATTTAGGGCCTAAGATTTTTTTTCATTTTTTTATCTAGAAATCTAGATCTAGATCTAGATCTAGATCTAGATCTATCTAGTAGATCTAGATGTATATAGAATCTAGATCTAGATCTTGAGTCTAGGTCTAGATTCTATTAGTCTAGAAAAAAAAAATCCAGTCTAGATTCTAGACTAGTCTAGCTAGATTTAAAACCTAGATCTAGATTCTGGAACCTAGAATTAAAATAGATTCTTGTCTAGTCTAGATCTAGGGTAAAACCTTAGTTTAGCGTCGGAAATTATTGGGTAATGTTTGTTGAGTTTCGGTAACTAAAGTTACGGTAAACTATGTTTTTTTTACCATTGAAATAAAAATAAAGTGAAAGTCGATTGTAGTAAAAAATGTTTTAATAGTTTAAGTTTAATCTACTAAAGAAAACAGGAATAAATAGGCCTATAATAGTAGATTAAAATTAGTAGATAAAAAAATAAAATATAAAATATATAAATAAAATATATAAATATAGGCCTAGATCTATATAATAAAATCGGTAATCTATCGTTTTGGGTACGTAAAATCGCCTGCGACTTGTAATGTAAAAAAAACAGGTGACTCCTTAAATTTTAATAGGCCTAATTATTCTACATTTTGAGGATTTATGTTTTTTAAAATACTAAAATGTTTCCTTGTTTCATTTATGTACCTGTTTTTAAACAATTGAATTAAAACTTTTCAGTAGGCCTAATAAATGAACACCAGCGATGTATCCAACAGATGCAACAATGTACATTTACTATAGCAGCCATCTTGTTTAAGTTTTATTTTTATAGATTTATAGAGCGAGATTCAGGCGGAAGTCACTCTATTTTACAAATGGCTGCTGTTTATATAGCAAATCTTACTCTCAAACACTGCTGTTTAAAGTTAATTTCTGGCATATATTGATATATTTAGCCATTGATTTAGGTTTATTATTCATTTATCTATAATATTTGACACAAACATATGACAATACACTTCTATTAAAGCCTTGACAATGAGGTAACTTTTTCGTACATTAATAGCCGCGGGCGATTTTACGTACCCAAAACGATAGATCACCATAAAATCAAATATAATAATGTGTCATGTTTTTGACTTGCAGCGGATTTGCGACCATTAATTAATCAATTAGATCTAGATTCGAGATCTAGCTAGCTGCTAGGCCCAGAAAAAATATCTAGATTACGAAAATAGTAAAAATGATTACAAAATGTAAAAATGATTACAAAAATAAATCTATCCAAATTTTAAACATTCTGTATAAAGTATAAAAATAAAAGATGACGCCAAAAAAAGTATGGTTTACAGTACTTCTGGCGAATTCCGGAAGTGTTTGACAGACTTTGGCATTGTTTTACTGTTTTTTACTGCTATAAGATTCAGGAATAATAACCGACGCTAAACTAAGATTTTACCGATTCTAGATCTAGAGGGATCTAGATCTCTGATCTAGACTTATAATTTAGTATAGACTAGATCTATCTAGATCTAGAGTGTCACTACGATGGACATGACTATGTCACTGACTTTAGTCAAAGTTTAATGACATAGAGTCACTCATAGTGTAGACTACATTATATTATTACTAGAGTAAAGTTCCACAGCCGATCACACATACCGGAAAATTCCAAACTCCCGACTTTCAAAGTACTATATTATTCCACTGCCATTCTACTCTTTAATATGTATCAATCATTTTATATTCCTACACATAGAATTTGAGATATTCATGTTTTAGTGACATGCTACTTGCAATATTTTTTCCCTGCGGACACCTGAACCGGCTGGCTTAACGATTGTATTTTATACGTTTTAGGCCTAATCCAATTTTAATAACTAAAATAAATATTTTACACTTTTAAACATGTAGTTGATTGTAATATCAATTAATAGATTGCAAAACCAAATTATTAAAACACGTTAATTAAATTTATTAACGACACATTAAAAGTTGACTCAGTGAAGACTCAAGGGACGCAACTATAATAATCTTAACAAAGGGACGTAACAATCACTAACAAGACATAACGTAACATTTGCTTAGATATGCTTGTATGTAGAGACACAAACTAGATTTAGAAGTAGATGATTGAAATAATTTAAAACAGAAAAAAAATAGAAATTATATAGATTCTAGACTTAGCTTTAAATGTGGAGCATCTAGATCTAGGCTAGTCTAGCTCAAGTCGTTGGTTACGCAGCAAGGTGAAACCACCCTAATAGTTACCCAAACTGCGGCCACCCCTATTCACCTCTCAGGTTGCTTTATTAGCCTTATCAATTGTATGTACAGTGTCCCACACATATTGTAGAAGCTATTTATAGTTAACCTAGTTATAAAATGCTTTGATTGTTTGGTTTTCTTCGTCTCATTCCGGACCTAGTGTTTTCATCCGGGGTAACTAGAATCGCCTACGACGTCATACCTCGAAACAAAAATTTAAAAACACGTCTTCCAGAAGGAGAAAACAAAAGAATTTGACCGCATATATTTAGAAATGGACATGTGTACAGCAGCTATCGGTAGTTTCGTATAAATCATCCAAACTAATATTCTACAAAGCGAAAAACAGGCGATGGCCGCACCAGTGTTTTAACCGCGCGTGGAACTTTACTCTATAGGCCTAAGTATAAGTTACTAGATCTATAGGTCTAATATTATATATAAGAAAAATAAGATTTTCTTATTAAATTATTTAATTAAAATGTTGTCACTTATCATATTTCATTACAAATCATATCACTTACTGGTTAATTTGAGAGCAAATTTAATGGCCTAGCTTATTGAGGGGCCGAGAAAACAAACAAAAACAAAATGACCTAATAATAACTTCTTGAAATGTTAAACTCTTTTTTGCCATCAAAAAAGGTCAAAAAGTTTTATTGGATTTTCTATTCTTAGCATGATGTCATGCCAAAAAACCAAAACATCTTGTTAGAAATAAAACTTTATATTCATTATGTTTATTAAGGAAATATCAGACATATTTATTACCACGTTTTCTTTAACTTGCTTTCTCTGTGTGTTTATTTATTTATTTATTTGTTTGTCTTTCCAATCCAATCTTGCGATCGAAATTTCTGGCACTTCCCAGTTAGCTAGCGCGCTGAAATTTTCAGGGAAGCTTTCTTTTGGATGACCATTGAATATTCAATTGTTATTATTACTAAATTGATCAATGGAAACATTTTATTGAGCATTTTAGACCGCTATATAATCTATATATATAATTCTCCTCTGCTAGCCATTACAAAAAAAAACCAGCGACGCGTACCTCGCGCGCAGTGAAGCGAACGATCACATGTCGCCACAGGCTTAGGGGCAGAGAATTTAGCTTGAACCGAGTTTAAACTTACAGGAGGTAGGCCAGTTTGGGGGAGACGATATGGTCGAGTGGTTGGGCACACGATTGCTATCCCACTCGACACGGGTTCAAATCTATGTGTTCTAGTCAGTAACGTATTCAAACAACGTGTTTTTTACGAGTTGTCTTTTTACGAGTTGTCTTTTTACGAGTTGTCTTTTTACGAGTTGTCTTCGTTTACCCAAAAAAAGTGAAAAGATAAAATCGATAGCAAGATTTTAATGCAAACAAACAGACAAAGACTAAAAAGTAGAAAATAATAATCATTAAAAAAGTTTTTAAAAACCCACGTTTTCTGATTGAACTAAAAAGTAGAAAATAAATGCTATAGGCCCTACATCACAATAATGCAAGCGATCCCTCTACTATAAGCGAGCAAAAACGTGGGGCGCCGTGATTTTCTTACAGTTTCTAATACTGTTGACTCTCTACAAGCTCCCTAATAAAAGTCAATAGTATTATCTAATCAATAGTAATATAATTTTTACTTCGGCGCCCCACGTTTTTGATCGCTTATAGTAGAGTGATCGCTTGCATTATTGTGATGTAGGGCCTATAGCATTTATTTTCTACTTTTTAGTTCAATCAGAAAACGTGGGTTTTTAAAAACTTTTTTAATGATTATTATTTTAAATTCTGCATACAATTTATGACATTAGGCCTTCCATGATTAATTGAACAATCGATACCCATAAAGTTGATAATAAAATTAATATCCAAAATTAAAAATGGATCTGACAGAAGTCTAGATCTAGTCCTTGTAACTGTAAAGACAATACAGTATTAGGTAAGATGATAAATGAACTTTTGTTTTAAACTTTAAAATAAATGCTGTAATTATTTTTCTCTTCTGTAGTAACATTAGGTTTTTACCAGCTATGCCTAGTAAATCTATAGTCCTGTAAGCTTGCTTGATCTTAAAATGACCCTAAGTATGCCTGTATTAATTACAATTTGCTTGGTTTATGAGGGGAGTGGTGGGATTGACCTCGACTATCTCTGACAGCAATCGTTAATGGTGTGACGTATGCTATAATAGGCCTGCTTAACTCATTGTGAACCATTGACTGTGTCAACATTTTTCTCCCACAGACAAGAAAATGTAAGCAGTTGATCTCCCGAGCGATGTTTGGAAAATCTTTATTAAAAAATTATTTTATGAAATATTATTTCGGTCAAGAAAATATTTTTAAAAAAGAAAGAAAAATAAAACCACTCGTGGCGCTTCCTATGTGAAAAAATAAAATAGAGCACAACTGATTTACTTCAGATTCAAACCCGGAGATTCTGGATCACTTACCGTACCGTTCTGTTTAGTCTGCCACACCACGATGTATTGGTAAATTAAAGACATTTTGTTTCAAAAGATGGCTAAAAGGAAATAAATACTACTTCATTTATAGATATTGTTCTATGTAGTAACTGAGTAACTGCGTAAATTTTACACACAATTCCTATATTTTTAACTAACACAACAGCATTAACGAGGTTGACAAAGTCTAAAAATAAAAAATTGCCAGTAGGCCTAATTCGATCTAGCACAAAAAAGGCTTGGAATGAGCATTGTTTAAAATACAATACTATGGCCTAATTACAAACTACATATAATTTCATATAAATTATATAGTATTTACGTTAACGACCAGTCACAAATTATGTTCAATGAAACTAACAGTGCAGTCGGCCTACTTGCAGTGAAGAAAAAAATCAATATACTTATAAAATTACTAATACTTTAATACAATAATGTCCACAATTTTACATTTTCTGCCCATGCTACAACTGAATTATAATTAAAAAATACTAGACTTAACAGTGCATTCCGCAAAAAACAAAAATTAGTTGTTTCTATCCGACAACTAGCATAACAATGACTTAACGTTACTAAAATAGCAGAGGAAAATTGTCGCATGGTTACTCATGGGGGAATTGGATTTTGGAAAAAGTAAACAGCATTAATTAATTATGGTAAATATCTCAAATATATATTAATCTAGGATCTGTAGAGCGCTTTTGCCTGGTGGTCGGTCTTTTTTCCGTTGCAGTTCAGTTTTTCCTGAAAGTGCTTCACAAGAAATGCTTGAATTAATTAGAACTACATATCTCGCAAATTTTTCTGGCATTTTAAGGCATAGTATCCATTTCCTTAGCATCGCGCATTAAAATAATGAAGAGATTTTGCGAGATTAGCAGTTTTTTCATCTGTTGTATTGGGGACCCCCAAGAAAACTTAAAATAGAATTGTTTCGTTAATTTTTTAAAAAGCCGTTTTGGGTAATGTTTAGATATAAACATCGGCCCATGTCAACAGGTGAAAATGCACATTTATGGAATGTGTTGTTTTCTTGGCCGAAGAGTAGTTTCATTCTTTATTACACTGTAACGAAATTAAGTATTCGACTAAATAGAGTATATTAAACTAATTTTTTTTTTCAGCTCTATACCCAGGATGTGCCAAAGACTGCGGGTAAGTTTCTTTAGTTTGATGGAATAAACACCTTGTCGTTCATTTAAACATTGCCAGTAATTGATTGGTTACCCCCACTCATTTGGTAGCTAATGGGTTGTATTCTGGTTATAGAACCAAATAATCCTAGTTTGAGCCCCCAGGCAGATGTGGTTCAATAGCCAGAGACTCATCTAGGAGTAGGAAAGACGACTCCATAATAAAACTACTGCTGCCATGTAGCTTGTTCTTGGCTGAACAAAGGCTATGGAACTTAATCCAAAAGGAAAGGAGGATGAAATAGGAGTCAACGGCCTATATATTGTATAACAAGTTGGCACACTTGTGTTTGAGGGCAATCTCTTCCAACACTAGAATTAGAATGAAGAGAAAAAAACAAGCAGTCTGATCACAAAAACTTGCACTTTTCACCAGTTTAGATTACCTAGTTAAAGGCCATTTTAGTTTTTTTGGCTCATTTTAAAAAAAACTTGAACATAAGTGAACCTTGTGGTTATGTTTTTAGGATAGTAATATATTACCTTTTTTATTCTAGAAAATTTCCGGGCACTCTGTACGGGAGAAAAGGGATATGGTTATAAAGGAAGTACTTTTCATCGTATAATCCCACAATTCATGTGTCAAGGTGGGGATTTTACAAACCACAATGGCACTGGTGGCAAGAGCATCTATGGCAACAAGTTTGAAGATGAGAATTTCAAGTACAAACATGAAGGCCCAGGTACTATCTTGTTGCATTATTGTAGACTGTCATGTCGGATTGGTCTGTTTGTAATGTTGGTTTGGCCTGTCATGTTGGTTTGGTCTGTTTGTCATATTGGATTGGTCTGTTTGTCATGTTGGTTTGGTCTGTTTGTCATGTTGGTTTGGTCTGTTTGTCATGTTGGTTTGGTCTGTTTGTCATGTTGGTTTGGTCTGTTTGTCATGTTGGTTTGGTCTGTTTGTCATGTTGGATTGGTCTGTTTGTCATGTTGGTTTGGTCTGTCATGTTGGTTTGGTCTGTTTGTCATGTTGGTTTGGTCTGCCACATTGGTGTGACCTGTCATTCAGCTGAATAGAATTTCACAAATATATTTCTATTTGAATACAGGCACTTTGTCAATGGCTAATGCTGGCCCCAACACAAACGGCTCCCAGTTTTTTATTTGCACAGCCAAGACTGACTGGTAAGGGCTTTTTGTGGTTCATTCGTACCTTGAATTAATTTTCTTTAGCTTTGAAATTTCTGGTAGATTTAATTACTTTTTAGGATGATTAGAATTTTTAAATGTATGATACATGTTGTGTTTTAGGTTGGATGGCAAACATGTTGTTTTTGGCAAGGTGGTTGAAGGCATGGATGTTGTAAGAAAAATGGAAGCTTGTGGAGATGACAGTGGGAAGCCCTCCAGCAAGATCGCCATTGCAGACTGTGGACAGTTGTAGGCACATCTGCCTTGAAATGGGCTCATTTTATTGCATGTGGTTGTAAGGCACATGAATTCATGTAGACAATTTTTGTTTGTAAGCTTATCTTTTTTGTTCATTTCTTACTAGAACTCTATGGAACAATTGTATTTAATCTTAAAGCCATCAGAAAAAAAATTTTTATATGTATTTATACAAGATGGACTGTATTTTAAACCTAACATTTGTTCTTTTTTTTTTTTATACTTTATTTTGTCAAATTTATAAATAAAAAATACTCGTCTCCGTCAAGAGTAATTTGGCTGGTAGGCTGCATATTTTTAGGTCTTTTATTGGACTTCATATTTATTAACAATTATAGTCATAATAACAGATTGTCAACACTAGCATTGAACTGGTCAGGATCAGGCAGTAACTAGCTTTGCAATCTCATTTTTTTTTTTATTCTCTCCATTTAATCTCATGACCATGTTATTAGGGGTAATCTCAGCCACCTTGAACCTCTTGGTTGCTCATTCGTTTGTTGCCAAATTTATTTGGTTTGCTGGAATCATTCCCTGTCTCATGACTATTCTAGACTTGCTTCATTCGTAACACACAATTTTACTTTTTTTTTTGTCCTGTGTTTAGCTGAAATAAAGTCATTTTTCAAATAGTGTGTATTGTAGTTGTAATGTTAGAGGGGGTCCAGGGTGCTTGACTTTAGATGTGTGTGTCCACCATTTCTTACTTGAAGATGTCAACCAAAACTAGCCAACGGTTATACTAAACCTTAGTAATTTGAAACAAAACATAAATATTTAGAAGAATTTTTGAAATTCGGCTTCATTAACATAACTGGAAATGTAATAGAGAAGAAACAAAGCGCACTGTACAAAGTTGTTCTCAGTCACGAATCTATGAAATCTTCAAAACTAAAACACCATTTCAGACGAGTCATTCGGAACACACCAAAAAATATATGGAGTTCTTTCGTAGATAAGAAGCTAGTTGCAAACGCCAGAGACTTGATCGAACAGGAAGTTTTCACCAGCATTAGTGCAAGCATCAAATGAAGTCGAGATAGAAAATGCCAAGCAAAAAAAAAAAAACAATTGGAGAAAATCTCATCAAACGTTGCATGTACGTAAATGTTAAATAACACATTTTTTATCGAAATTAAGCTTTCACCATTGTTTGCTTTACAAGTTGATAAATCAACAGACGTGAGTTCGTGTTCGCAGTTGCTGGTCTGTGTCTATATTCATGCGGATGATAGCAAAGAAGAGTTGCTCTTTTGTGAAGATAGCATGGAGAAAATAAATACCTTTTTTGAAACTGGATGATTAAAATGGGTTAGAACGGCTGTGGGGGTTTGTACGGATGATGCGCCATCTATGCTTAGCTCAAAATCGGGCTTTCAGAAAACAAAAGATTTAGCTCCCTAACCACTGCCCTAACCAATCGACATCAAGAGTCCATTGCTAGTATAAGTCGTAAATTATATAAAATCTGGAGCCTTCAAAGAACTGAGCAAAAACATTAATATATATCACGAGGTTCTGCTCTTCTACACTACAGTACGCTGGCTGTCAAACCAAATGTTGTTAATTGTGTTAATGAATTGAAATCTGAAATCAAATTGTTTTTGGAAGTGCAAAGGAGACAAGACTTTTTGGTATACTTAAAACGACATAGAGTGGTTGGAGAGAGTATCATACCTGGCAGATGTGTTCGAACATCAAGATAAGCTTAACCTGAAGCTTCAGGGAAAATGAACGAATATTATAACTTTCCATGATAAGCTCGGGGCATTTTTATCAAAGCTGCAAAATTGGTAAAGAAAATAAATCTAGGAAATATTGTAAATTTGAGAAATTTTGAAAGAAGCGATTTCTGGGCATCTAGAATCTCTTGAAAACGAACTGCATCGCTATTTCTCTGAGCTGAAAAAAGAAGAATCTGCATTTACGCATTACTCATTCTCTTCTTCCCATGATGTTGCCAGCATTCCCGATGAATTACAAGATGAATTCTTTGATTTGCAGAATGATTCCGAGTAAGATGAAAAACTGCAGACACAATTTTGGTGTAGTATTCACCATTCATACCCAAACGTAAAATTGATTGCCTTTTCGAGAATATATTTTCAACACTGTTCTTCGATTAAAAACAAAATTAAGATAATTATAATGACATAGGTTGGCGTTAACAAAATTTTTTAAAAATTAAAAACTTAACCACGAAGGTTTAGTGAATAGTATGCAATTTTACTCATGCTATTAAAATAGTTATCAAGAGTAGTTCATATTGAAAGTCTACTAGAAAATCTTATTTTAGTAGGTAGTCCAAACTGAAATTAACTATTGATTGCAGACTTCTGGAGTGAGTATGTCATGAAAGAACTTTTAATTGTAAGCTCTATGCCACAAATTTTATAAAAATATCTTAATAAATAAAAAAGTTAAGCGATTTTTAAAAAAGCAAAATTTGGTAAAAAACTGATTTTTAAAAAGTGCCATATTTGAGAACCCATATATTCTAAACTAAATAACATAGAAGTGTAGAAATTGGTAAAGTTACTGCAAAGTTTGTAATATATATGCCCAATTTTTTTCAGTCATCTAAAATGAGTCTTTCTAAGGTAAAAAAATAATTGAAAATGACAAAAATGCGTTTTGGTCACTTTTATTTTCATAATTTTTTTTTTTTTTTTTTTGAAAACCGCAAAAACTGACCCTAAAACGCACTTTTCGCCAGTTTGGACTACCTAATTTTAGTGCTTATTGATTTCCATACTAATTTCGGATTTTTAATTCTATGGGGGTCGCGGGTCACTTACTTTTTATAAAAGGGGGTCGCCACTCGAAAAAGGTTGGGAACCACTGCTCTAAGCTGTGCAGTACTTACAAGATTCCCAGAAAGATGAACAACGGAAAAAAGTGCAAAGAGAAATGCGCACATAAACCTGCAAAGAGAACCATGTGCACACAGATCACTCCCCAATGAGGATTATGGCTGCGTGCATACATATTCGAGTTTGCACTTTCCTATGTGCATACATAGATATGTTTTATTTCATCTTTTCAACGTCTGTATGTTTTTATTAAATAATTGCAGCATCTTTTTCTAAAATAAATAGAATCTTAAATTCCTTAGATTCAATTAAGATGAACATGTCGAAAAATAAACAGGATGGACGGATGGTTCATGTAATAACTTTCAGAGAACGCCACAAATGGTCGACTTCAACGTACTAGAGACGGCAGTCTGTGATGCAATTCTTTTTTTTTTGGGGGGGGGGGGGGGAATGTTCTGCTAGTTACCCACCTGCAAGTCTCGTGATTTTGACCTAGGTACAGTGCCGTATTCAGGCATAGTTACTCTTCCTTAGCCCCCCCTCCCCCTTTTTTTTTTAATAACTAGAGAAATAGAGACAAAGATGGGTGGACTGACGAACGCACGGAAAGACGGGAGGGTGGGTTGGTCATATCTGTGGACAACCCTTTCCTCTTGTCAAACGTGTGCACGGACTATTAGTATTAGCAATTTGTTTCTATGCATTTTAGATAGCGGTGGCATTGTTAGTTTTTTAATTAAAATATATGAGTGAGAATGAAATATGTATACACACATTCACAGATCATCTCAAGATTGATGAAAGATCTGTGCGTAATTTTCTCATTTGCGCATTTTCCTGTGTGCGCACTTTTCTGTGTTTTCAAATTTCTGTTTTCGCATCTTTCTGGTCACCTGACAAATGTGCTGCGCGCGACTGCCGTTGACAAATCATCTTGTGATAGTTTTGAAGCAATAAGTGCGAAATATTGTGGAATATCGACTATAAAAAAAAGAAAGCACAATTAGAGGGTTTAGTTAAAATTTACTTTTGAATGACACTAAGATTATTACTATACGAGCCCTTATTATTATAGAAAATATGCAATGAAAAGATATAGTTGGTCGACGCGGGCAAAAACTGCGATTTTCCGGCCGTCTGACTTACCTATTAAAATATACATTGTTATTGCCAGTAGCTTCTAAAATGTGAACACCGAGTGAAATCTTTGCTCTGGTTTGAAAATTGTTCCCCACATGGGTTAAGCTGTGCCTGTACTGAAAAACAAACGTATCCTACACCTATATATGTAGTTTGGGCGAAATCTCTGCATTACAAGTGGGTCAAAATTAAGTTACAAGATTAGCCACACACAGACATTTGGCCTAAGATAAATGGCTATAAAATGGAACTCACAATATTATTAATAAACCTAAACTTCATCGAACATTTGAACTGTAAGTATTGGGATGAAGTGGAAGAGGGTCATAGAAAGAAAAAAAATCCCGCTATTTACGTTGCAATGAAATTGTTAGATTACGAAATAGTTTCATTAAAAATTTTGCGAGACAGTCAACATATATATATATATATATATATATATATATATATATATATATATATATATATATACTAGCTTGCGCGTTGCCACGGGCCTACAAAAAGTCTGACGAAAATTCTGAAGAGGGTTTAATCAGTGCGTTACCAATCCTATATTTTTAGACGCGTGGCCTTGTTTTCTAAAACTGAGTTATTTTAATGTAAACAATGCCTGCACTTGGATGATATTTATTGGGGCAATGTTTACCTACACTTCCGTATTAAAGCCTTGATTGTATGTTAATCACTCACTAAAATAGTGAGGTAGAACACTCTTCGGTGACCGCCCAGGTGTCAGGGACGTAGAGGGGCGCTCTCGGAGCTACCTATTAGACTACCGCAGGAACGAAGCGTACGGCATTTGGCTCCTTAAAATAAGTTAAAAGTAACGTAGGCGCCATGGTGCTCACATGATAACCCAGGGCGGCAAATAGCACCCTGTTGGGGCGCCGGCGGACGCACCTGAATCAATTTAGTGAACGACTATAACGCCCAACTTTATCCATTGTCTATCGCACTGTCTTTAACTTTAACGACCGTAGTGCCATAGCACTCACGGGAATACCCAGGGCGCGAATTAGCACTCCGCCGGGGGCCACCCGTGCGAAATAAAAAATTTTCCCCGCAGATACATTCTCGGTGTCATGGCACTCTGATAAAAGGTGTCGACCCGCAACCGACTTTTATTGATATATACCGTATATAGAAAAGAATCGAATCGCACCCTTCCAGGGTTCCAACGCTGTGAATTTTACTTTTTTTTTCGCAGAATCCTCTCCAGAAGTATTTAAACAACTTCCCAAAGTTTCATGGCGATCGGATGAAAAGACAGACCGACGGACGGACGGAGAGACAAATGCGGACAGACAGCCACGCGCGTACACAGACACAGACATTAATTAAAGAAGTGAGAAAAGACAATTTCAGTGCAGATCATTTAAACGCTGTTAATTAATCTACTTATTTTTGAGGTTGGAAAAATACATTGGGTCTGTTCTCTATGTATGCGTGTTTGTATTGAATTCCCAAGATACAGACATAACCCCTCAGAAATGCACGTTTTAGGGTTTCGTAAATCAACGAACTTAAAACGTCTTTTAAAAAGCCCCGGGACCCAGTAGCGTACGCAGGGGGGGGGGAGCAGGGGGAGCGGCCGCTCCCCCTCTGGCCATTTTCAGCAAAGTGGCGCCTTTTTGAAAACTTTTTAAACTGAAAGTTTGTTAAAAAATATTTTTGGT